ATATGAATCCATTTAGCGGTAAAATAATATAGTGGCCCTATTACAATAAGGTGGCCGCGTTGATATTTTCGTAGAGAAAAGTATGATTTTTTTGTAAACAGCGATTTCCACACTCGTTTCTTTTAAATCACGCATGCGGTTGTTGAATGGACGCACTCAATTTTTTTTCATAGTTGCTTCATAAGTTCCTCTATTATTGCCATCGGTAGGGCTCCTATATTTCTAGTATCTATATGGATGAACCGGATCGCTTTAAAATATTTCAGCAATCAAAGTTGTCGCTTCCACATGACTTTGGGATATCTTGCTTTAAAAAAGCTGATGGTGCTGGTTCTATGCCACTTTTAGCGGGAAAATTTTGAATCTTCGGGTATGTTCGGATCGGGGCGGGAAAATTTTGAATCTTCAGTCGTGTTCGGGTTGGCGCATGCGTTCTCATTGGGGTTTTCGCGGAAAATCTCCGAGGTTCGGATGCGCAGTATAAATCGTATTCGGCTGTGTTCGGACTAACTCGCACCTGCAGAAGAGAGGGGGAAGTTTTGTAGGAGCGTGCTTAGGTCACGCTTACACCTTCATAATCGAAAATGTCAACGTCTATTTGCATTTCAACCACCATTCTCTCAATTTGTTCGCATGGCTTCGGCAAATCGATAACAGTTATTGGAAACTATCTGAAGAATTGATTCAGGAAGAAGAGCAAAATACAAATGGAAATGAAAAAATCGGATATCCCAAGAATCATTCCAATTTTCAATGCGATTCTAAATGTACAGTAATGGCGAACAAGACTACTGAATATCATCAGTTCATTTAAACACAAAATTGATCATTCGCTACATGTTCCGAATGATAAATTGAAAAAATCGTTTTTAATATTTTGCCTGTTATTTAAATTCAACTGATAGAGAAAAATTTTGTCTGATATAACTTAATCTATAAAGAACAATGAAAATAAAAAATTATTATGCATCAAATTGCTTTATTTAGGAAAGATCTTAGCTTGTAATATGTACAAGATATTGGAACTGTCGTACATAATTTAAACGAATCAACAATTACCCCATTCTAGGACAACCGGTTTTTAAAATATTGCGCAGGAAAATATTATTAACATGTAGTATCTGCTAGACATCTTCTTGTACAATTTTCCATCACTGTATCGTAGATGATGATGACGGTTCTCCAAATATCGTATTTGTTTTCTGTAACACTCTTTCAAATAGTGGAAATGTTAACAGAGTTTGAAAAGATAATGTTTCAATTCCTATACCTAATCAACCACTAACCAAAACTAACCCCTTGTTGAAACAAGAATAGTATTACATCATTGCAGAAGAACACTAAATTTTGCCAGTTGTATATATGTATAGAAAGCTAAAAATTTCAAACAACAACAAACAAAATCTGCTTCTAGTTCACTCCAAATCGATTTTGAATAATGAACCTAGCCCTACAGGATTCAACTACGATATCATTGCGTGAACATTCTTGGCGGAACAAGATGTTTGAAACTATTCACGTTATACTTTAGAACACGGTTATCCCAGACAACCAATAAGTGCAGCAATATCGACACAGCACCGTTGTTAAGTCGAACGCAATAATTCGCTTTAGACACGACACCCTCATTTGCGCTCTCTCGTGGGAATTCATTAAATCATTCTACATCTATAAATTGTGTGTAAATAATGGCTGCGCTAACACTAATTTTCCGATATTGCATTTAAATTAACCTTTCTGTTTGATTGCACAATAGAAAAGATAATTACCTCATCTGTCACTGATATTTATTTATAAATGGTTTGTATCCGTGTAGCTGCATCGGCGGTTTAATTTATTGCCCAGGTGAAGACTGCGGGCTTTTCGTACTAAACTTTCGCTAACCTTCGAAAGGTAATTTAAAATGTATGCTCGGGAACATTAGAAAAGGTTACGGACATTTAAAAAAAGTGAATTTGTGTCAATATTTTTTTTGTTGACCGCGCATAGGCAATTAGGCAAATTAAGTTAGGAGACACCAAGCATCAGAAGATCAGTCAGATTCAGTCCAAACGAAAAGGGTAATGACCGGGTGTTTCACCTGCTACGACTCGTTCAATCCAAGAGTTGACATGAATTAGGTTCACTGCAATGGATTTTGCCTTTTAGCTGCTACGCCTGCATTGTTTTTTTTTTCACATCGCAAACAACGCGTGTGGGGATGTGAGTAGGTGCGATAGTAGTTATGCATGTGAGGTAATCAGAAGCAGTCATGAAAATTTATAAAAGCATTTCGCGGTTTCCAAAACAAAGAATGGTATGTGCATATAGATGACGTTTTTCATTATGTTTTGTTAAATGTGATAAGCTATTTTCTGTAGTATCTAAGACTGATTATTGCTTAAGTAGCAAAATTCATAATATGGTAAGTCAAAGTATGAAAAGACAAAATAAAAGCATCGCAAAGCTAAACTGTATAAAAAAAAATGTCGGTCCACAATTCAAACCTCTACCGTAACAAAAATATGTCGAGACCATTGCAATTAGAGAGACAGGCAACAAATTGTCAGAAATGTTCGCATTTCGCATGCACATTTTCTATTTCGGTTTCATTCCTAACATCTATGAGTAATTTTGACGAATTTGAGTGATTCCTGCCCACCGATCACATTTTTTTATATGGTGTAATGTATGAAAATTGTTTGAGTGGATCAGGTGACGTCATTAGGGCAGCAGCAGTAAGCGCAGTAGCTACTAGAGATATAGCGGTATTGCCTAATGTCGATAATACAGGAACTTATGAAGCGACTATGAAAGAAGGTCCATTCAACATGCGCATGACCTTGTGGCTTTGAACAACCAACATGGTCGTTGACAGATCGTCAATAGGTTCGGATTCGGAATTTTTGCCCCAATATTTTCTCAAGATATGCCTAGATCTCGTCGAATGTTTTGGGAAAAGAAAATGGCGTAAAGTGCAGGTTAGTGGGTGAAATGCGCTGAAAAGCATTCTTCTCTCTATTAAAACATAAATGTCTTCTGACTACATCACCAATTTCAGAAACAGAAAATTTAAGAAATGCTTACTAACCACTTATTATTATTGAACTGAGGAGGCTTTTACTTGATGAAAATCCATTTATCAAAATAAATAAGAACTAAAAGTTCAGATTTTCACGAAATTATATATTTTGACATGACAATTGTTTCGACAACACCGTGTCTTTATCAAATTTTGATCACATTTGATAAACAATTGTCACGTCAAAATATATAATTTCGTGAAAATCTGAACTTTTAGTTCTTATTTATTTTGACTTGTTATTATCTTTTTTTGTTTAGTAGTATTTATTATTTTCAATTAATGGAAACCAAAATAACTTAAGCATCTATTTAGATTTTTTTTTATATTTGAACTGACCTGGAGAACCCCCGTAAATTTTTGAGAGCCATTTCAATAATTTATTTTTAATTCGTGGATTGGACTTGAAGTCAATGGCTAGCTGCGACATTTTTGGAACGAATATTTGCGAAAACTTCGTATTTCTTTCCAACTATCACAGAAAATATGAAATATGTTTCTCAACAACTACTCATTATTAGATGCCTGATAGAATCTTACCATTTTAAAGTGAATTAGGATAAGTCAAACAATTAAAATATGCTTAATTTCTTCCATAGGCAAATCAAAAACTGTGTACTATATCTCAAAAACTAAAACTACCATATAAAATTCAGTTGGACAGCTCGAGCTCGAGTCACCTATAGCTCAAATCAGTTTCAGATAGCTCTCTGAAAAAAAGAAGTTGATTTTTTACTCAGGGAGAAATGTATTCCATTCGTTATTCGTCATGAACGATACAAATTTGTAGGTTTTTGTCTTTCATCTTTTTTATTTCAATATTTTTACTACTAAATTAATATCTAGTCAAACATCATAATAATAATGACGGACCTGCATACTGGCATGATATTATCACTGCCGATTATGACGAGGCTCTGGAGGAGATTATGACTGATAGAGATGTGCGAGCGAAAAAGCATGAGCCGCGAAGAGATCTACAATATAAAATTAAAAAATATTCATTATTTTACTTACCTTGTATTCAATTTTGTGAAATAAACAAGTTATTAAAAAAAACATCACCAATAAACTTGTTGCTAGCGGCAACGTGTATGACCAAAAACCAAAGTATTTTCTTTTAAATGTTCGTCTTCTTTACGTCACATTTTCAGGTATCAACTAAATGAAGGGAATAGAGACTAAAAATGACAATTATATCTCGTCGAGTAAGAAAAGTATTCTGAAAAAGTTGCTATATTTTCTGTTTGCTTTTGAGATGTTCAACAGAGAAAGTAAAGCAAAATTCTCTACCTCTGCCAGCAAAACTAAACCAAGCGATCTCTTTCTCAGCAAACATAAATGAATACCTACACATTAAATCCGGTCTATTGGACAAAAATCTGCAAACGTTAAGGTCAGATAAACGAAGAACTCAAAACATTTTTGAATTGATTATACTTTTTATCAAACAATTATTTACCTAATTTTCCGTCTTAACTTAAATCTGTTTTTTTAGAATCTCTTTTACTCAAAACTAAAAATGTTTATATATTTCTTTTTCGGTTTTCAGTTGTTAAAAGACACTCAAAACCGACGATTCTACCCAAAACCTCAGATTTCCGGTAATACACCGCCAACGCAGACAGTTAAATGATGATCGGATATTACTTTATGCTTCTGCTATACCGTTCATCCTCCATTTATGTTTTCTGGAAGCGGGGAATGCTTTCGGCCACATTTCATTCCCCCCAACGCGGCAATAATATCATTTAAAATATATACGTGATACTTTTCAGCATACCCTTTAAAACTTTCAGCATCTATCATTTCCCAAGCTGTTTTCATTTCGCTATATACCTCGTCCCTTTAAACTATCAATCAACGGTAAAATATGCGTCGATTTTGCAGAACGCTTCTGAAAATTATTGGGTTGCAAATGAAACTATGCATTTACGGGGCTTCACACTTTTATTTCGAAATAACACAAAATAATCCGCTAATGTCTATATAAAATTTGCTCGTTGGACACATATATACAGCGTGCATGTTATTAAGCTTACAGATATTCTCGTAATGACTACGATCAGAAATTGTGCTGTTGGTTAGCTAATTCGACTATTGAGATAATCGAAAGTTGAATTAGATATATTTAGCGTTGATGTAAGATTGAATTCGAAGCGTAAAATATAACGTATCACATCGCTGATTTCAGATAAATGTACACTAAAATAGGTTTAAATTTATATCGTACAACATTCGAACATATTTTTCGTTAATTTGTCCACCTCTTCCTCTTCCCTTTAAAGAAATCACCTAAATTTAAATTGAGAACCGTTGCTTTAGTCGCGTGAAATTGACTTATATATACCTATTTTAACGCTCACAAAGGCGTATACGAGTACGTAGACATTTTTCTAACGCCACGAATAGGATAAGCACCACTTATTTGGTTAACTGCTCAATAGATTCAAAGAACAACTTTTGTCTTTTTTTCTTCTTTGAGTGTAAGTGTTGAGTGTTTCATGTTATCCCATCCGGTAAGTACAAACAATTCTCATACAATACATACATTTATCTTTTTAAGATCATGCACTTTATTTTCTGATACGAGAGTTAGTACCGTCAGTAATTTTAATTTAAATGTGGTAGCACCAGAAATAGTAATTTCAAAATAGTCGGAACTAACTGTTGAGCTTTATAACAATACTTTGCTATAAATTATAATTTTGGAATATATTTGGGAGATAAATGTTCAAAAAGGAAAATGTAAAGAAACAGCAAACGGAAAAATTGGGAAGTGTATTTTTCAAAGCACGCATTATTTAATTTTGTTAGAATTTGTTGCCGAGTCAAATCCAAGTTCTTAGCATTTGTATTTAATTAATGAATATAAAAATGTTAACTTCTGAAAGTGGTCGATTTATTATGCTGTTTAGAAAAATATCTACGCTCGCTAACCAAATGTTGATTGGCTAAACTGGTTGATCAAATATAGTAAATGTATAAAAGTTGGGTCTCTGGTTTCAACTTACATTTGGTTAAAATAGTATAGCCCTATAATTTTTTTGAGCAGTATATAGTTGCCGTAAAACGCAACACATTGATATTTTTTTCGGAGATTCGTTTATAAATATATTGATTGCATTTCAAACGCATCAAATGGCCAATTAATTACACAATCGATAAATATAAGTGCAACTATATTTTAATAATATCACCGTATTCTTCTAGCGTCGATTTAATCGACATTTTCTAAATTTCTTACTTTGTTATAAAAATAATAACTATAGCTTTGGTTAATCGTTGTAGACAATAATTTAAAATAATCAATTAACCTAATTTCGCTACTTAAGGAATTTATTCTACCTCTGATGGTTTGCGACAAGCTGAAGGGAAAGATTTTTCACGAACAGTCACGGGGTTAAGTTTGAATCATTTTCGAATTACCAGTGCTTTGTAAAAATTGCGTAATTGCATTGGATCGTTCTTACGCAATTTTCCAAAAACCATCTTCCTTGAAACCTACGTACTCTAGTACTTAATACCTATTTTCCCTATATCCCCATCACAAAGATGCCCACTTATTCATAATTATACAAATACACCAGTTAGACCTTATTATGTCGGCAAATGTATTATCACCAATATTAAGAGAAAAATGTAGACCAGCCCTCCGGAAGTTCTGCATGCTGTGCTTTTAACTGAAACAAGAGAGAAAATAAATTAGCTTCAACAACTAAAAAATAATTCTTATTTATGTTGTTCAAATCGACTTTTATTTTTATTTATATTTTATGAAAAAAGAAAACATACGCCCTCAATTGGAGTTAAACAAAGGTGCCAGGAGAACAATATTTTTTCCATCGCATTGCACATTTCAACACTGCTTGTTAAACCTGAGAATATCGGTATGCATGTTGATATCTTGAAGTGAGCCACTTCTCACGTTTAAAGAGGTTACAGTGTGTTAAAATAAATTAACCAAAAATTTTAGATTGTTACAATAACCTCAAGAATTACCCAAAGATCCCACCTACGGGCTCGTTTTCAGGTATTCTCAATTATTTCTCTAAATATTTGATGTATTAATGACATTAACTAGTCACAGTCTGACCTTCATCGATTATATGTATACTGTTATACTATTCCTGGATATTGATAAATTCTCTTGCGAATTAATAATGGTAGAAATAGCATCTACAATCTGGAAGGAATGAACCTCAAAATAATCAACGAGATAAAGAATCTATTTTTATAACTCTGTTCACTAAACTCTTTTTTGAAAGTCATGCAGAGTCAACTGTCCAAAAAGCGCATCTAAACTTGAGACTAATTTTGCGAATCATCAAATCAATTAATTCTTGGTTTTTTATGTTGGCCAAAAGTCTTCTAGAATTCGGTCCTCTTTGATCGTTAAAACATAAACTAGATAGAGAGATAAACTAAAGTATTGAAAAATTACAAGTAAAGCATATTTTTCAACTGAATTACAAAATTACCAGGAGTTTGATTGATACTAGCTATACGAAAACAGCCCATAAATTATGTAGGTTAAGTGAGATATAATTTGTGGAGAGCGTAACGTTAATTGTTCAAATCAAGTCGAGGAGTTTCTGTTTAATTTAATTATGTTAATTTACGTATTGCCTTCCTAGCATTTTACAAAAATTGTTATACAAAATTTGTAGGGCTTAAAACGAATTTCTCCAGGAATCTATCTAAAGTTTCTGGTTTTTGTTTCAGATTAGAGAAAAATGGTTTTCACTTTTCTAGTCTTAGCTTTCTATAGTTTTTTTAAAATGACATAAACAAAGTACATTGTTGTTTGAGACAAACGTTTAAAAACTAATATGCGCAAGGGGGTAGTATTTTATTGTGAAATTTAATTTTGTGTGTTTTTATTGCATAGTTATTTTTGCTCCAGTTCACTTGCTTATCACAAAAACAAACATAAAATACTGATGATAAAAATAGTTTAGTTTTTATAAAGAATCTAAATATTCACAGATGTCCTATTTAAAATGTCAATGTTCGTAACATCTAATGGTTCAAAATTAGAGTACTCTTAAACAATACAAGTAAGCTTCCAAGAAACTTTTTTGAGCCCTACAAATTTCGTATAACTTTTTTTTGTACAATTGGAAGTATGTCCGTTAGGAAGCAAATCATAAAATCAATAAATGTTTTCCTACAGTATTCTTATATTATTCTCATTGATCTCATTGAAAACGTGCTCATTATCTATATCGACTAATTATGATGAATTTACAGTATTGCCTCTTGCCTCTATAGATTAATACTTATCATTATTTAAAAAAAAGCTCCTCCTTAAACTCCCTTAAGTGACTAATGAACTTTCCAACTACTCGAAGGCAACGAGGAATTTTCAAGATGTTAATTTAATTAAAGGAAATGCCTTTATTACTGATTAGGAGAGCTAGCGTTAAAATATTTCTATAGCTTTTTGATGCTCGCCAAATCCGAAGGGGGGTTAATTAAATCTATCGCCAATCTCTGCGGAGGCGAGGCACTAAAACTTTCAGCGATTTGAAAAATTCTGTTCCTTTTGCTTCAATTTTGTGCCTCGGATTTCGTCATTTTGCGAAACACTTACCACCGACCAAAAAGAAATTAGTTCCGATGCCGCTGAGAATTAAATTACTTTCGATTACATTTGAAAACGGAAGAAAATATCAAGGAAAATAAGCAGTGCAGGTATAAATGAACGAAGTTAAATCGACGAATTACAAATTAATCTACTAGCTGTATGACGAACAACGCAACAATCTATCTTTTTTTTTCTGTATTTTTCGGAAAAAAAGCTAACATAAATGTTAATAAGATCAGGATAAAAGACACTTTGAAAGCAGAGGAAGTATGTAAAAAATCTTTCGGGAACATTAGGCAAATTAAAACATACATTTGCAACGTTCATATGGTTCGCACTTCGCAGAACTCATTGACTTCATAAACTTCATGTGTGAATGTATACAGAACACTAAACGTTAAAAAAGTGCACTTAACTGGTTCTCCGCTAAACCATTTGAGGAAATCCATAGTTTTTTATACAAATTTTGAGGTTAGATATAGATACGGGTTAGAAAGGTACCTAGAAGTCACTTAATCACTTTAATGTCCGTCCATATACTATGTGTGTGTCGTCCAAAGTGCATGTTTCATTTTCATTAATAATTTTCACTTTTTCCAAATTTATAAATTAGTCTAAACTAATTCAACAGCCTAGATCTGTTTCAATTTAAAACCACATCAAACCACGCAAATCAACGCTGAAACAAAAATTCGCGAACGACTAAAGGTGTGAAGTCGTACATCGATCGAGATAGGTCTTAGTACAGTAATCCAGGACCACCCAGTTTTTTACCTTAAAGTGAGAAACAAGTGATTGAACAAGCGGTCCTCCCGTTTCACCCGAAGATCATTAACGTAAGGCAAATAAAGGAAGCGTTTTCTTTCTTCTTAAATTTTTTAATTATTGCGAGTTCATTTTTGTCGCTTTACTGAGCTATCGGAGGAAGTTACAACATTTTATCTAGCAAATGAAAGCCTGCAACAATTGTAAATAACATAACAAATATCCGAAACTTTAACTGCGAAGATATCTTGGCGCATAATAAGGCTTATACCACGTCAGACGTAAGCGAAGCATTTCATTCAAAACTATATTCTCGTATAGGGGAAGGAATAAACTTGTATAGTTCTGAATATGTTCAGAATAAATTATTGAAAAAAATAAAGTCAAAGGTCTGCAAAAAACAAATAAGAGCTTGTATATTCCGTTGGACCGACTATCAGAGAGTAATGAAAACTTACCGAGCAAGAGAGCTTCCCGCATGTCCCTCATTACCGGCAAACTTTGCACTATCGTCTCTCTATCTTCGCTGAATAGTATCGGGGAAATTGACGCTACACATTTCACTCTCATCGAACCACCCAAAAAGTGGCGACTGCTGAGTGTGAAATGTAACCCGAGTGTAGTTGTCACCAGACCCCTAGAATGATATTCGACGGGATATTGAATAAGCGCTTCCGGTTTTTGAATCTGAAACAAAACACCAAACGTTACCGCTATTGATATTGATTTTGATTATTCTGAAATCGTTTCATTTCATACGCGGAATGAGATATCGAAATGCGAAAACTAACCTGCTGTTCGTTGATATACCAATGAAGTATGGAGGCCGGATGACTCTTCCCCGAAGTACAATTCAGTGTTATTTCGTCGCCTATCTGATATTGCTCCTCCACGCCGGAAATTACTGGATCCTCATCTGGAAGGGCTGAAAATAGAGAGACGTCTTGGTTCGCACATCTGTTAGTTCAAAAATGTTTACGTCAAAAATATAATACGGGAATACAGCAGCACCGAGGAATAAGGAAATTTATACCTGCTTGAATAACAAAACAATTTCTGGTAAATCGAATAGTCCTCGAAAGAAAATTTTGTTTTCATATTTTTTATTAATGCAATGAAAAATTATTCCTGTGTCGAATTTTATTACCAGCCTACATTGATTTTTCTCGGCTTTTTATGCTATTCTTTCTTTGCTATGCTATGCTTTCACCCTTTCTATCCCTTGCTCGTTACTTTTACCTCTATCCTCTTGGCAAAAACGAGATATTCAGAATATGTTTTAACTCTAGCCTACAAGTGTCTACAAGTATTGGTGTTCTTCTATTTTTAAGCAAATCGACGTCCCATTGATAAAGCCTTAGGCCATGTCTCTTGGTGTCCCCATAAAGTTTTTTTTTTCTCTTAATGATAGAAATACAGCACTCAAGATCTTCGCTTCAAAAACTTAGCCCAGATATTAATCTAGTAAAATGGTTAGAATAGAAAGAAATAGAATAGAAAAAGTTTTGTTCGCAAACACATCTATTTTTATGCGACAACAAATACGCTGTCATGCAGTAAGTAGACACTTTCCAGATGGTACATATTTATTGTTAGAAATTTTGTAAAAAATAAGATTCGATGACAACGTTTCCTTCCTCAATCTAGTAGGACAGAAGGGCACAAAAAATATTTTTGAGCACTTTACACAGAAATTTCAACTAGAAAATTTTTTTACATCCATAAATTAGCCTGTTCCGGGACACACTGTTTATTAGTATGTAAATACCATTTATATAAAATTGGGCAAGATAATTTTAAGAAATACCTAAGCTCGTTTAATAGATTCGTAATCCAAATTCCATTACCGGGATTATGCCGAAAAATAACCATGTAAAACACCCCGCTAATACCAAAAGCCCGTACCCAGCTGGCGTAATATCTCCTAATAACTTGCAAATAAAACAAACACTTAATCGGTCACTAAAGTTCCAGTTAATCCGGGACAAAATACTCCAAGAGTACTTAGCGAACCAATGGCGTTTTATTTACTGCGAACGTTACGCCCGTGGTGTAACGCATCCTTTTTTTGGCAACTCCGAATAATAAATAACAGAGCAGCATAATTCTCGTCCATTTTTTTTTAGAGTAAATTTATTTTCACAAAAATCTCGCTGTGAATCAAATTATATATATATATATATATATATATATATATATATATATATATATATATATATATATATATATATATATATATATATATATATATATATATATATATATATATATATATATATATATATATATATTTAGCTTTTGGTTCTTGGGTTATAGGTCTTTGTATTAAAAGAGATTAAATTTTTTTTTGTCCATATATTGACGTTTCGGTCTTCTATGACCTTCTTCAGAAAGGGGTACAGTCTAAAATTATGTTATAGTACAGTTCTTTTTTTTTTTACATATACACAACAGAATTACAAAGAACCTTACCAAAAAGAGACAAACACAAATCTTAAAATTGAAGAGGTAGCATCATATGGAAGTTTATACTTTAAAAGCGTTTGGTTTTGTCATAGTGCCTAGAAATATTATTGTTTTGGTTTTTTCCAACTATGAGAATAAAAAAGTCATACCCTTGATAAAAGATAAAAGTCCAACAAAAAATGATCTGTATACGGCACTCACACACATAATACACACAAATTTAACGAAACAGTTAAAATATATATAAGAGTTTAAAATAATAATAATAATAATAATAATACCGATACGCGAGGTTTGCTCGCGTCGACGTTACTGTAAAAACATCGTACGATGCACGATTGTTTTGGTGCAAGGTTCAGAGGATATACAGAGTGTTTTTGTTAATTTATAATTTTTTTCTTTTATTTATTTTAAATTATTTTTATATATTATAATTTTACATTAATATATCCCTATGTTGTTACTTTCATTGTTGTTTTATTTCAAAATGTTGCAATATAACTTACTGAGATTGTTGGTGTCTGTTTTCGAATTTATAGAGTTCTTATTTTTTTGGATCTCAACCATTTCCAGAATTTCCCTTTTTTTTGTATTATTTTCGGTTTTTAGAATTTTTACTTTCGCAAAGTTGAAAGAATGCTTGGTTTCCGCGCAATGACTCTTCAGGGCAGTCGTATTTTTTTTGTCGTATTTGTGACCATTAATTCTGTTTTTAAGATACTGGCTTGTTTGACCGATGTACACACCCTCACAATCGTTGCAAGGTATCTCGTAAATGACGTGACTCTTCTTTTCGTCCGGTATCTTGTCTTTTAATTTACTGAAAATGTTTTTTACCAAATTGTATCCTTTGTGAGCAATAGTAATGTTGTGATTCATAAAAATTTTGCTAAAATTTTCGGACATACTGGGTATATAAGGAAGCGAAAGATAATTTTTTTTTTGTTTTTGTTGGGTGTTGCTTTTTTGTTTAGTTTGGTTATAGAATAGGTGTATACGTTTTTTGAAAATGGTGTTAATTAATCGTTCCGGATAGTTATTTAGTTTTAATGCTTGTTTTGCTTTAGTAATCGATTTTTCTCTGAAATCCGGATCAGAGAGTTTAATTGCACGGTCAGCCAAGCCAATAATTACGGATTTTTTTTGCGATATAGGGTGCTGGGAGTTAAAATTAACGTATCTGGAAGACCAGGTCACTTTAGTGTACCACTCGGTTTTAATTCCTTTTTTTAAATTATGAAGGGTTAAATCTAAAAAGCTGATTTTACTTTGAGACTCTATTTCTATTGTAAATTGTAATTTCTGATGGTAGCTGTTGAAGAGTTGAATAATTTCGTGTTGTTTGTGTTTTGGTATTGCCGTTATGCAATCGTCTACGTATCTGTAGAAAAAAGGTATGTCAAAAAGGGCATTGCTAAGGACCGACTCCTCCAAATCTTCCAGTACAATTTGTGCGATGGCGCTGGAAATTGAAACTCCCATGGCGCATCCGTCGATTTGTAGATAAAAAACTTTGTTGTATGCAAAATAGGTTGATTTTAGTGTTATTTCGACTGCTTCTAATGGTCACAAATACGACAAAAAAAATACGACTGCCCTGAAGAGTCATTGCGCGGAAACCAAGCATTCTTTCAACTTTGCGAAAGTAAAAATTCTAAAAACCGAAAATAATACAAAAAAAAGGGAAATTCTGGAAATGGTTGAGATCCAAAAAAATAAGAACTCTATAAATTCGAAAACAGACACCAACAATCTCAGTAAGTTATATTGCAACATTCTGAAATAAAACAACAATGAAAGTAACAACATAGGGATATATTAATATAAAATTATAATATATAAAAATAATTTAAAGTAAATAAAAGAAAAAAATTATAAATTAACAAAAACACTCTGTATATCCTCTGAACCTTGCACCAAAACAATCGTGCATCGTACGATGTTTTTACAGTAACGTCGACGCGAGCAAACCTCGCGTATCGGTATTATTATTATTATTATTATTTTAAACTCTTATATATATTTTAACTGTTTCGTTAAATTTGTGTGTATTATGTGTGTGAGTGCCGTATACAGATCATTTTTTGTTGGACTTTTATCTTTTATCAAGGGTATGACTTTTTTATTCTCATAGTTGGAAAAAACCAAAACAATAATATTTCTAGGCACTATGACAAAACCAAACGCTTTTAAAGTATAAACTTCCATATGATGCTACCTCTTCAATTTTAAGATTTGTGTTTGTCTCTTTTTGGTAAGGTTCTTTGTAATTCCGTTGTGTATATGTAAAAAAAAAAAGAACTGTACTATAACATAATTTTAGACTGTACCCCTTTCTGAAGAAGGTCATAGAAGACCGAAACGTCAATATATGGACAAAAAAAATTTTAATCGCTTTTAATACAAAGACCTATAACCCAAGAACCAAAAGCTAAATATAAATATAGAGAAGGTCTAAGAAAAAACAAAATATAAACAATATATATATATATATATATATATATATATATATATATATATATATATATATATATATATATATATATATATATATATATATATATATATATATATATATATATGCTCAATACCCAATATGGCTGCTGAGAGGTCATCAATATTTTCTCAATATGCCCAGAACTAGTTAAATGTTCTACGAAAATGAGTTGAATATGGGCTGTTTAGAAAGAAAATAGCACAAAGTAGCACACCTAGGAAAGTGGGTGAAATTTAAGGCCCAGAGCAATATAGGCAAATAACAGAACTGTTTATCGTAGAGTGATGTAAGTCGAGCATGAGCCGAAGGAGATGCCCCTAAATTCTCATTCAAGCGTACTACCAATTTTATACAACCGGATGTAATCGAAATCACGATTTTGTTCATTAGGTTTTGGACTTTTTAAACAGTTCATAAGACTTTAAGCACCAGTGTAATAGGAAAAAAACAGGTTGAGAAAAAGTCAGTTTATAAATCTTTCAGAAGAAATTATAAAGAAATTAAAATGTTGGCAACAAAAAATTTCAGGAATATCATTTCAAATTTTTAGTAAGCGAATAAGCGTAGTACTGACTCTTATTTTTGTAGTAATACCTTTTTGACATAATTTAACAATTTGCTACATAAAACATGGTGTAACTCATATACCTATTAGAGATATAGAATCCCTGCCTATGCTGACAATACAGGAACTTATGAAGCAACTATAAAAAAATTTTTGAGCATGCATGGATGGGAAAACGAGTTAAGTGTGTGGAAATCGCTGGTAGAAATAAAATGTCGCAAATTGTAGGTTACTGGGTGAGATGTAGAGCCATGTGTGGAAAATCAATTTTCTTAAAAAAAATTCATAGCAGCTTCGTAAGTTCCTGTATTATCAACATACACAGGAATTCTATATAGGAATGCCGAGGAATTCCCAGAAACTTAAGCATCAAAATGCATTTTTTGTTTCGGGATAC